ACTGTATATGCATATTATGTATATATAGCCTGATACTATAAGGTGAGAACTTCTACACAATGATGGGCTTCACACAAAGCCGACAATGATGCATCCCGTCACGTCCCCTCGCATCTGAAAGTAACAGCAGGAAGGCCGTTCTAACGTAAGTGCAAAGAGGAGACCTCTCCACCACAATCATCCTTAGACAAACAATATGTCCTTTTGGCTCCCCTCTTACTGAAAGGTCTGGAATGCAGTGGACTGACTGACACTATATATAATACCGTCCATGGTTACAGGTGGTAATTCAGTGTGTCGTACACACTAAGGATTATAAATGTGCAACCGGTCTGTCCAGTGCAGTCTGGCGCATCGATGTTGTATCTATAGCTTATTCAAACTGCTTCTTAGTGTAAATATACAGCTGCACGGGCGGGTTTGTTTCTCCAGGTCCTGTACAGCCTCCAGAATGCAGCTGGCTGAGTGACTCAGCTGTGGCCCTGTGGGCAGCGGTTGTAATAAAACTGGATGCAGTGTATGGGTGCCACCTGGAGGCTGGCATGATGTGCCAGTCTCACAATACACAGACACTGCATACAACAAAATGAAAAATGTGCGGCATTTAATGTGAGAAATATTAGAACACTGGCGTTAGATTGACAAACCCTAAGAATCTCTCTTAACATTCATTAGCTAATAATTAATGCCATAAAATGTTTATGGTATTTAAATTATATTTACTATGAATTAATTATTTTATTTTGATGATTTAATCTTAAAGCGGGGGTTGGCACCCCGTCCTGGGTTATTCCCAGTCTTGTGCCCGCAGCTTTCAGGATAGGTTCTGGACTCCTGTGACTATGCATAAAACAAGTGGGTACAGAAAATTGATGGCTAGAACCTTAACATTGGACCCTAGAGACAACTTAACAAATTTAAGTATATTTAGCAATAGGAGAAAAAAATGCTGGCTGGTCAGTGTTCAAATTCATCTTCCAACTGCTTTTCCTGGTCAGGACCAGAAGGGGGGCTGGAGTCTATCCCAGGCAGAATAGGGTACAAGACAGTAGTACACCCTGGATTGAATGCAAATCCATCACTATTGGATGCTATGGGCAATCTAGAGATGACAATCAGCCTACTGTAACTGCATGTTTTTAGACTGCAGGGGAGAATTCCTGCAACATACCTGTAGGGGGAACATGCAAACTCCGCACACGCAGAGCTGAGGCTGGATATGGACCCGCAGCCTTGGAGCTAACAGCACTTCTCACTCAGCCATCCAAAACGTAAACATGCAGTGTTTATTTTTTTTAGCTGACAGTTGACAATATCCTGTGTTATAATTAAACATCAATGTTTGCTGTTGTGCATGCATTTATATACTTACCCACATTTAGTGAAATAACTCCTGATTGCATCTGTTGTAAAAATAGCCTAATAATTAAGTTCTAGCTACATTCAAACACAACACTTGTATTCTATTGAAAAATCGTTGCACCCATTATATTGCAGGTTAAATTGACTCTCATGCTTTAAATTATAATGCACTTTTGTTTGAATTTTACTGGAAGATGAACACATTTTCTTTAAATCTATGCCTAATAAATAAATTATTCACATGTGCATATTCAGTTGATCCCAGAAATATTTGGGAAAAACTCTTAACCTTTTGAAATCCTCATTGCTGTATTCTTCACTCAGTTTGCATTCTTACATTCATATGGTATTGATTTTGCTGTCATGCTGAGGGGTATTGTGTGTGTGTGTGTGGGGGGGGGGGGGGCACCGGTCCAATGAGTTCTTGTTGGCATCTTTACTCACTGCAGGGGAGCCGTGGAGTCTCAGCATGAACATGCTGGACAGCAGTGACAGCCAAAGGGGATTAAGGTGGCCAATCTCATCTCTGGATGTGGAGGAATATCTGGGGTGAATGCAACTTTCCACCCTTCCACTGCTGCATTGTTTCAGTTTTACATGCAGAAATACTAACACTGTGGCAAATCACCAGACGTGCAGTCATGCACTGGAGATTGAATATGTTACCAGCACCTTCTGAAGATTGTGACCCCCCACCCCCCAGCCTCGCTTGTTGAAAGTGCCGCTCTGGATGATTGGTGCCTCCTTATGCTGTGCTGTGCCCAGCGATGCATCTCCATTCCCTGTTTTCATAACAACATTCAGGACATTCAGGTTTTGCTTGGGGCAGTATGATATGGCAGGAGCACTTCTGGGAAAAAAATTGATGTGTGCAAAATTCACCCATTTGCCCGGTACCTCCATTAGTGGGGCTGTAACCAGCACAGTCAGCTCTCACTTTTATTGCATGATCACAGGAAATACTGATCTATTGAAATGCATAGCACCCCTCCCCCACCCCAATCAGTCATGCCCTGTATAATCATCTCTATTGCTTGAGGTATAAAGGGTTCAAGCCCTGATTGCAATAACTTGGATTTGAATGCATGTAAACCACTTGATTATATAGGAAGTTGACAGCATGCCATTTGGCTTTGTTGTGGCGATGCAGACCGTTCTGTAATTCCATATTCAAATTTCAATATCCTTTCTCTGGTGGATGGTGGTGTCTTCCTACCATTTTCATTCGATGAAGGCACAGCCATGGCTGATTACTGACTCACCATCATAAGAAACTATAAAGATCATCACGATCACCAGAATCCTCCCTCTCTGAAATCCCATCTAGGACACAGTCACTGCCTCCCAGAGCCTGAGGTGATGCCTCACTGGAATAACGTCTCACTGGGTGTCAGAGTTCCTGAGATCAGGAGGGTGTCTCTCAGGCATATGCTGATGCAACAATGAGCAACCAAAAGTTCCAGAAAGTGCTTTTTAGACATCCAGATATTTAAAGCACAATTACAACTAGCAAAAACACAATTAAATTCATTCAGAACATGAAAGAATTCCTTTATTTTGCAACTTTAATGTGCCATTTGCTCCAGGCGCCCCAGGATAAGTAGCTGGTGGATAGATGGATGGATGGAATTCTATACACTTAAACCAGGGGTGTCAAACTGCAGTCCTGGAGGGCGGCAGAGCAACATTGTCTTCTGACTTGACTGGAACAATTTTTGAAAAAGCACAGTCACACAAACAATCTGGAAAAAAAGTGTTTCACTTTCACAATGCTTCCCCCTTTCCTACATGGTTACCCCCAGAAGCACTTCTCAAAAATCTATGTGTTAATAGACAAATCCTTAACAAACAGAAATAGATGTTGCATGATTTTTCTTTCAAGTGCATGTAGGTCAAATGGCATGTGTGCTGTTTTCATAAAAATTAGGAGGTGTGCTTCCTGTTGACTTCATAACAGGCCAGCCAGTGGTGGTATTGAAATTCAATTAAGTCCCAGTTATCTATTGATTTTGAAAGAATATGAAGCAGCTGCCTCGGAAACAGAAAAGATGGTGGTTTATTTTTGATGCAATGGTTTATTCTTGTTAAGCCTGGGAGTATATGAACAGGAGTGCATGGCACAGAGAGCATGGCACGAGGAAAAGCTCAAACAATGTGAGCTGGCTCTGCTCAACACTATAATCACTGTCACAGCATAGTTGTAAGACCAGGGATCAGATATACTTAAAGACAGATGCAGGTTGTGAAGAATTATTTAATTTATACTGCTTACACATAGAAAACAGTGGATTAAACATATCTTGTGCGAATTAAAAATTAAAACAAAGCCTTGAGAATTAAGTCTTGGAAATTTACCCAAGCTTAGTTGATACTACTCGTTAGCCTTGCTGGGTAGCGTTCGAGCGGTTCAGCTGCTGTCTGGTTGTAGTTCATCCTCCGACGTTATAGGTGGCGATGGAAGCTCTGGTGGACGCCGAGACGTTTGGTGAGACGCACCGAAAATACGAAGAAGCATCCTGAACGCCATATTGGAAATGTGATGTTCGCAGGGACCTGCAGGAACTAGTCTTGTGGATAAATTCCCGCAGTGATCGGAGTAGCCGCTGAATTGCAGCCGGGCCAGTACGTTTCAATCTCATCTGTAGGCTGCGACCCAGTTCGTGCAATGGCCGTCGGCTGGAGGAAATGAACGAGTGGTAAGTAATCTATAACTGAAAGGGGACATAATTAAATGCAACTCAGCTGAGACTGCTGCGTTGCCTCCGCCTGTTTTCCGTCAATATCTGTACGTGCGTAGCTAATTCTGCAGTCTTGTTTGGGGGACAGGTTCCACCCAAGGTGTCTGTGTCGCGCTGGTGTAGCTGGTCGCCTGTCCTGAATGGGTATCCTTCCAGGTATCAGCAAACCGGTGTAGTTTCTGTTGACTGGAGGGGTTACTCGGTAGCCTGCACGGGCACCCGCTGCAGCCGCAGTGATGCCGGAGAAGGGGGTCTTCTGCGCGTGCATGCCTGTATGAGTCTGCGCGTGCTTTGTCTCGGCTCGAGATGTCAGCGACGCCGTAGCTAAGCGACACCCGGAGAAGCTGCCGCGGGACGCCGAGCCGCCGCGGACCGACCGCCAAAACCAACTAACCCTCGATAGTTTGAGACCTTCGCGCTTGTATTCATATCATAGCCTCCGTGCGTTTGGGGGAAGTTTAGCCCCCAGTTTCCCTGCAGAAGAAAACGCTTCGCATATTGCCGGGTTGTCAGTTAGGCTGCCTGCGAAGCCGGCTGAGAGGACTAGCTATACTAGCTGGCTAAGAACAAGACGGTGATGGCCCGGCGGCTTGTCAGCAGCAACACGTTCCCGCGTCGCGTTCGTGCAAATATCTTACCCCCTTCAGTTCATAAATTATTTGTGACGCCGAAATTCGTTTTTTCGACTACCAACCAAGTGTTTCGGATGTACGGTTGCGCAACGCATCTTGTGACTACAAGCCAAGTCACCTCGCTCAGCGAAGCTAGCAAAACACACCGGGGGGGGTCTATCGATTCCCGGTCCGCCTTCAGACCGCTTTGTGGTGGCCGCCTGTTACCCTTTAAACGCTTTTTTTTTTTACTGTGGCGGTTTTAGACGCGGACTCCTACGAGGTTAGTAATATGTCTCCAGCGCTAAGGTTCGCCTGGAGCCAATGCCGGCGTCCTGGGCCGCTTCGGCCTTGCGGCGCTAGATCGGCTCTCCGTACTGCCACGGCCGGCCTTCCGCCTCTCTGGCTCCGTGTCACCGAGTCCCCGCGATGAGTTTCCAGTAAATTTTCTTTTTGAGGATAAATCGAGCCGAGCACCTGAATGTAAGGTGCTTAAGAATAACTAGATATGAGTTCTTAAATGATTAAATGATTTTTTTTTCTTTTTGCTAGAAACGCTTTCAGGTGCATTGTATATTTGTATAGGGTGTGTTTGGACTCTTATTTAATGGGAAACATTTTGGAAGCCTTTTCAGTTAAGGGTGGGTTAATATAATAATCGCAGTATATGTTTAACCCCGGAAGAGTGTTGCTTTTATGACTAAGATGTAAACCATGTCTGTACATTAATGTTTATGGTAATATTATCTGTTCTGTAGTGTGTGTGTGTGTGTATGTACCGTGACATCCACTTATTTTTCAAGCGTCCGGTTTCTTTTGGGCTGGAAAAGCACCAGTCTCTCCAGCAGTGACAATCCTGTTACCTGGGAGCCTGTGCGACGGACGATACATAGTAATGCCGAGGCTTTGGGCACCGTTTCCGGGCCCCAAAACGACAGGAAGGCCGGTATATTACTGTTTGCCCCAACACCTGCTTTATCGATATAGTTTAAACAGTTAAACTTATGGTAGCGACGATGATGAAAAATGTAAAATGAAAAATGACCTTTATCATAATTTGTAGCGCATGAAATATGTATATTTAATACGAATACACGGTTTTGCTGGCATATTTGGGTGTCTTGTTTAAAATGAATGATTAACACCTAAAACCTGTTTAGTACTACTGGATCCCGAGTAAAATCTAGGGAAAAGCAACAGTTTCCGGTATGTGTGTGTTTATACAGCGTCTTGTGCACTGCTGGGTCTCCAGAGATCTTCAGACTCTCTTCAGTACAGCTGTGATTGGCTCGGTTGGCATGCAGCCTGCCAGAATTCAGTAGTCTGTCACTCATCCATCACATGGGGTCATGCAAGCCTGGAGGTTGGCCTAGAGAGAATTTAAAGGTTAAAGATCTTGTGAAATTGCATGGTAATCACGTTACATATTGTAGTTATACAAGGGTAACCAGTGCCTGTTATGAGACGGCAGTTTCAACCACATTTCGGAAATGTTTACATTTAATTGTGTGATAGGAAGTGAAGGGTGCTGGACAATGAGGCCAGTTTCCCCGCCTACGTTGCGAGATGGAAAGTGCGATTCCAGCTCAAGTGGCTGCTGCTAACGTGTCCTGCTGCTTGTTCCTTGGCTGGACTTTTGTCCCCTGAGAATCATCCAATTATGTGCAGCCAGCCCCAGCACTGCGATTTAAAAATTCTTTCTCTTGGCTATGAGATTGAATGCAGTGTGACATTTAAATGCATTTAATACTTAAAAATGTATTGCTGTTGTGATTTTTACCACACATGAATGCTGAAGTCATTAATTACATATGTGGGGGAAAAACAGAGTACACAAGTCCTCAGCAGCGTGGGTTGGAGTATGTCTACGCTGCATGTTTCTAAGTTTGCAGGCTGGGACACTTAAAGATTTGCGTCAAACCAGGCTGTTGCTCAGTGGCTGATGATGTAAAATGGGGAACTAACATAAGTGACCAATGGTAAACTGATTATTTTGAAGCTGTTTAAGGATGTCGCTATCAGTAGTATAAATAATCAAGTAATCCAGTGATTTTTAATCTTACCATTCCTAGAATAATCTTTTGTTTATAATATATTCAGTTTGCATTTGGTGTGAGGCAACATATGGTCAATTTAGCTACTCGTTCCCTTGAGTTGCATGTTTTTTGGACAGTGGAATGAAATCTAACAATCTTTCGAAAAGCCACACACATAAGGTGAACATGCAGACAAAGCAGCTGTGTGTGCTGATGATGTTACCACTGTGCATGTGCGCTGCGCCACTGTGCCACCCATAGATTGTGTGATATTAATATCGATATGGCATTTTGCGTGCCTACAACTGTCACATTGCAATGCCCACGATTGTCTGCTGGGTTCAAACCATCAATTAGTTGCAGTAAATATTTTTGCTCAGTCATAGGAAACAAAACTTGGCAGTCTTTGCAATTTTAATGATGGTTCTTTTGCAGTTTTATCTAGTGTATGTAAAAAAAAAATAAAAAAAAAATCAAGTTTAAAGTTTACAGCTGCTGCTTTTGCATGAGCTCTGCATGCACTCTCAGACAATCATAATTGTTCTCCGCCTTGCTGTTGGACTGTGGCACCTTTTGTGAGAAATTAAAAATGAGTGTAGAGGAGAAAAGGATGAGAGAAGGGTCACAAACTGGTCATAAAGACCACTATACTGAAATATACTGCTTTGGGTCTGTTGGCACAATTTGCAGCGACTTAATTGACACACTCATGGTAAATAGTTCTTTCTGGCTATGTAGTAAATTATAAACTCATAAATATCTCAAAAACATAATATCACAGTAACATTTTTTCCAGTATTCAGTCCTACTCAAAACTCAATTGGCTGACAAAAAATAATTTGTATATCTGCTGTATTATGTAAGGTAACAGCTAAGTGACGGGGCTAATCTTAATTTTAGCTGCGGTTTTTGACATACAGGATTAGTATAAAGCAAAATGTTTTAAGTCAAAATTGATAGACAGGCTAGGTCAGTCCGAGATGTTGCACATATAGTGAATATTGGTTATGTGAAGTATTTGTACACAACTTTTTGCTTATTTCCATTCTTGTTAACTGTGTCTTTCCACCATATTGCTGAGTAATTGAGAAGGAAATTTTTAATCTGCTTTTTAATAGTTAATTGACTCCTCTGAGGCTGTTTCCCAATCATTGTTTATCTTACTGTTTTTAGATGTGAGAATACATAAATGAATTATTAGTATTTTTTTAAATGTACGAAAAGTCAGAAAATGCACATTAATTGACGAATGTGTACAAAAATTGTCATTTTCCATATGTAGAGCCATGTATCTGCGTGGAAACAGTATTTCAGTTGCACTTCCAGTTAAGTATAAAAATCATTTTGGTGTTAATGTACTTTTGAATGTGAAAATTTGGTATTTGTTAGAAGTAGATCTGGTGCGGTGTGTTTCCACTCTTAGGTGGATGGAGAAGGTCTGCTGTGGTATAGAGAGGGTCATACTGAGTAGTTCTACATTGAAAATAATCACGTATCAAGCTTCATGTCATGGCAGGTGCCTTGTTGTTGGACTCTGTCTGTGGATGGCCATCTGGACAATGGCTGCATTTTAGCATCACGATTCTCCTTAATTAGTGCTGCACCATAGCTCTGACACGTCCTCTGTGACACGAGCGTGCGCACACACACACATATACCGGTGAAGAGTTTGTGCTTGTGATTTTACTGCTAGCCTTGATTTTAGCAGTTTGTGGGTTGTTAGAGCAGAGAGCCCAGTGTCTGGTCCATCTGCTGATAGAAAATGTACTTCCAGCAAAGGATTGTCTTTGCACTGCTTGTCCCCATTAATGCTGGGCCTGAAACCGTTTGCACGAATGTAACATTCATTCATACGGAAATCGCTGCTGCTAGTGCCGCATGAAATCTGCATCCTTTCATAGTCCTCGGGCGCACAAGGACGCTTGCTCAAAGCTGCCGTTTCGCAAAGCAGACTGGGTGTTTCGTCATCAAACCCCTCGCCAAATGCTTGTACTCGACAAGCTCTGATCAAAGCAAGAAATCAGAATGTAAAGAGTACACATGCTGGGAACTTGCCTTTCCAAAGAACTTGAAAGTCTTGCCCTCAACCCAACTTATTGTACAGAAGCCTTGGGTGCAACCAGGTAAGTGTTTGTTTGTGTTTCCATGGAAAATGTAACTGCTGAAATGTACGTAATGATCTTCTTCCTCTGGTTAGCACTTAGCTCAGGAAGCAGGTAGAGGGGGGTGCTTTTGGGGTCTTGAGCATATAGAAGCATTTCCCTTGTGAGTCCTAAGTTTAGCCCATGTGTACAGGTTCACTGGTAATTGGGCTTTAGGGGGTGACGACAAGTTAGCTTAAACCACAGTCTTGATCCGCTTGTGTAACTGCAAAGTTCGCCCCATGAGAAATACCAGCAGGAAGCGCAAGACAGAGACATTTGACTTCCTTGTTTACTCGAAACTAAGAACAGGAGTGTCATCTATGAACTACTGTTATGTAACCGTAACAAAGTGCTATGGAGATAATCAGGTTCTAACCCCTCCCCCCCTCATCCGAGCACCGTATACAGGTTCCCCTTTTTCGTGACAAAACTTTTGATTTATGTGACGTGTTTGGTGGGAAGTACAGGCAGCGTTTCCACTGCCATCTGGCCTATGATCTGGTGTGAGGTTTTGTGCCCAGCTGGTCTGTTGTAGTGCAGAAGCACCTTGTATAATTTTTATGTCATCAAGAGAATCTCTTGATGTGCAAAACCAGTCAGCTCAAAGTAACGATGGCTTTTTATTCCCAAGACTTGCAAGTAAGGAGCTGTGAAATCTGTTAGTCTGCTAAATCCAGCACCACCGACTTACTTCAACCAGTCCTGTGCAAAGAGTAATTCCAGTTTATCAATACATAAAGGAATCTACGCTCCTGTAGTCATTTTTTGCATGCAGAAATTGAGTGAGTAGAAATGAAGTGGCCAGCTTTTTAAAATGAAATCAAATTTTTACTTCCTCCTTCTGCACATTAAGGTTTCACTCAGCAGTTTATGGCAGCTACAGATATATTCCTAACTTTTATTATATGACTTGCATTCAGATTAAATTTATTGCTTTCTGCCTTTGGGCTTCCATAACCAGCCTGTTCATTGTCATATTAAGATAATCAGCAAGTGCACATGTGAGACAGAGATGGTGGGTTGTACTATGAAGATTTTTAATTACATTAATTGCATAATTACCGAGAAGATGGTATGTAAAAGATTTAAACATTCCAGTATTTTAAAACTAGCAGGCGGGTCCACATAGTTTATCAACCAGAAAAGAGATTCTATGACTAAGTGGCGGTGGCTTAATTGAATATGACTTCAATTTCCCATCTGCTGTTCAGTCTGCAATTGATCTTTTTATCCTGCTGGTTAACCTTCCTAGCTTCAGCGCTAACAGACCTCTGACACTGTCAGTTTGCTAGCTCTGCTTTTGTATAAATCAGTGCCATTCTCTTTTAAAATATGTTCTTGTCCGTATTAAACATAAGCCATTACACACGTGTTAAAGCTTTTTGGTTTGTAGTGGCAGTGTTGGTTTTTCTTGTTTGCGTAAATTTCCCTCACCAGTGTTGGCTGCTGAAAGCACAATATCAAGGGGCAATATGCAGCATATTATGAAAGTCTGTTTTGTAATGTCTGTCAAAAAAGACTACAAGAAATTCCGATCCCTGAAATGTCCTGGAGCACTCCTAGCGACAGCTGGGGATTTGGCTTTGAAGGCGGGCATATCACTTTAGTGTTCTCTCGCTGACGCAGGAGAGCAGTGGGAAAGTCTGTCCTGAGCTAGTGGGGGAACAAGCGACGTGCTGTCTTCTGATGTATACATCAAAAATGAACTGAGAAACCAAAGTTATGTTCGCGTAGCTGTGAATCCCTCATCACTCCTGGAAATCCAGCTATTCCAGCAGCACTCTTCATTAAAGTAGCGACGGGGTTGATGACTTTCGAAACCGGTTCAGAGTTTGTGCTCGTAAAATCTCACGTTCCCCATGACTCATCTTTGTCGTGCTGTATCATGCTGTTTGCATCAGCTACAGGTGATCCTTCATGCCCGCGTCACTGCCTCAGAGATCGCTTTCCCTCTTCCCGCTAATATTTCTGCCGCATTACTTCCTCTCCTCATTCGCTTTAATAAAGGGCTCCTGAGCTGAGCGTCCCTGTGTCCCTCCCAGTGGAATTGCATTGTGCTGAATAATGGGCTCTTGCAACTCGGAATATGATCGGTTTTGTGGACTTCAAGGCCGCTAGGTTGAGGAAGTCGTGGTGTGTGTGTTCGGCGGACGGAAATGAAGTGTGTTGGCAGAACAAAGCAAACCAAAGGAGCGCTTTATCCAAGCTTCTGTCTCGCAGCTTATTGTCAAATGGCTCGCGGCCACAGCGAGACAATGATGAGCATTTAGGAATGCAGCACATTCTTCTCTGTTCTCTGTCATCTCTCTCATTGCCTGCTCCTGTGCTGTCATCCACCCAGCAGAAGATGAGAGGAGGGCTGGAGGAGAGACTGCAGCGGCGGGGCCAGTGACTCTCTCGCCGCGGGGATGGCTCAGGCGGTCCCTCAGCTTGACTACCAGCTCCTGCACGACCTGAAGCTGCGCTTCCCTGAGATCCCAGAGGATGTGGTGTCTCAGTGCCTCCTGCAGGTATGTGGATGCGCCGCCCTGTATCGGCAGCCTGGTGTCCTAAGCAGTGTGACGCTTAATCACCGGCGTGTCTCTGTGCTTCTCGCCAAGAACAACAACAACCTGGACGTGTGTTGCCTTCTGCTGGCTCAAGAGAGTAATCGCTACCTGTACGGGGAGTACCACAGCCCCGAAGAGAGCCGCCTGGCCCGTAACCACATGCTGCACATCAGCCTGGGCTACCCGTCCACAGAGGGCGCCAAAGCGAATGGAGGGCGCCCCCTGGTGCACAGCTCCAGCGATGGGCACATCGAGCCCCAGCGAGGCGGCCCTGGTGCCGGACAGCGTCCCATGGTGTTCCAGGAGCCGCACTCCGCCCCTGCCACCATGGCGCCGTCGCCGGGGTACAGCCCCTTCTTTGTGAACGATCCGGGCCGCTCTGCCGGCACCCCGCCGCCCGGCGTGCCCTATCCCCCAGTGCCGCACTACGCCATGAACCCCATCACGGTTACGCTCCCACAGAGCATCCCCTCTGTGCCTCAGGCCCTACAGATCCCCACTTCCCCTTATAGCGGCGCCGGGGGCAGCGCCCTGTATGTCCGGCCCGCCCCCTCACAGAGCCCCCAGCCCGCCCCCTGGCCCTCGCCTGCCGTCCCGGTTTTCTCGCCATCCCCTTACGCCTCCCCGTATCCCGGGAAGCCGGTCCCCCAGACGGCGTACCACTCCCCGCCCCCATCCCAGTTCCCGTCCCCTTACAGCTCCCCGCAGCATCAGATCCAGCAGGCAGCCCACGCGTTTCTCCCAATCAGCCCCCCCAACGTGCCTGGCCTGCCCTACCAGGCACAGCAGTCCATGTCCTACTTGCCCCACCTGTCTTCCAAGACCCCTCTGAAGAACCAGATAGAGATCAGCTTAGAGGGGGGGCAGAGAGCCCCCACCCCGGCTCAGCGTAGCGGCTCTCCTGGAATCAGCCAGCCGCGAGGTCAGAACTCCCTCTACATTTCCACTAACTCCTCCCCCAGCTCCCCGTCACGGGGGATCAGCTTGACCAGCTCCTTTCACCCTGGCATGTACATCCACCCAGTCCCCGCGCGGCCCCTCCCAGCCTCCTCCCCCCAGCCCGGGAATGCCTACATCAAGATCAAGGTGTCGCCCGGCCGGACTCAGGGGCGCCCCCTGGAGTCACCCACCGTGGAGACTGAATCTCTGCTCAACATTGTGGACCAGGCGGAGCATCCTGCAGCGCCCGCCCCCATCCTGCCTATCACCGTGTTGCCAGGCAACATCTCCAGTAAGATCAACAACATGCCGCGCAGGTCCAGTTCCGGCTCTGATGACTACGCATACACTCAGGGTGAGTCATGGTCTGTTGGTGGGGTTCTTTGGTCCACTGCTTTCAGGAATGACATGGGTCTTCTGACGCTTTGAAAGCAATGAGTAGCATGTTGTGTAAAATCGATAATCATAATATGTGCACCGCTTAAATTGGACAAACACATTTCCAGTTCTTTGAGTTATCAGACTGTCGGTTGTTGTAAAAATCATGTGGCCCCACAAGTAGAAGCAAGACTGTATTTCAGCATACAATGCTCTCCCAGGTTTATTCTGTTGTGACAATTACTTGATTAAACTCTTACTCGGTTTTTAAAAAGCATCAGTTAGTATTTGCTATGATTACTGATTTGGTATGATTACCTGGCAATGTGGTTGAAGACCAGTGGAGCATAACTGCTAAAAGGAGGTGACCTGAGTGCATTACTGGAAGCTGGAGACTAATTTTTTAATTAACCACAAACTCACTCACTTGCATGTTGAAGTTGGATGTTTACTCCAGTTCTGAACTGCAGCTCTTTGAAACCCCAGAATCTTCCGTCTTGTGTGGAGTAACAACCAGACCACCTAAGAACAACTTAACTTTTTGATGGAAGTTTGAGTTTCTGCTAGCAGCCCTTATTATTGGGGGCTTTAATATTCACATTTGTTGCCCCTTAAATCCCCTGGGCAAAGAATTTCAAACTCTATTAGACTCTTAAGGCAAGCTGTGTGAGCTCCCACTTATGAATGTGGTCATATTTTAGTTTTGGTCATGTTATGTGATATTAATATTAATTAATATTGAAATTGATGCTATTCATATTTCTGATCACTTGCGTATTTTTTTTTTGTTAAATCACTGTACTGCAAAAGGTGCTTATATACTTACCGTGCTCTGTACTTGAATTGAATCTGCTACTGCAGACTGGCTCTCTGATTCATTCCGTTTCAATCCCTTGGCCCTCTTGTTGCCAGACAAGTGCCAGACTCCTTTTTTTTTAAAACTCTACCTGTTCAAATCCCCTGGAGTCAGTGGCTCCTCTGAAACCAGTTTGCAAAAGACCCAAACAAGAACCCTGGCTAAGTGGATCTACCCGGACACTCGCACAGATCTGCCACAGAGCCAAATAAATGTTGAAGAAAGAGAGGCTCCAAGTTTTCCTTGAAATTTTTCGATCTAGTTTTCCATTATCAAAATGTGGTTAAGGAATCGAGGAATAACGATCTGACTTGATTTGATAAGAATGCACATCGTGTCGTTTAATGTATAAATTCTTTATTTCACCCTCCTATTTTGGGTTTTGAAATTTGGCTTTGTCAAACGACATTTTCTCTCTTATGATCAAAATTGAATCTTTACGGTCTGGCATTACACCCCCACTGTACGATCCAATCTGTGCTGGTTCACTGCCCTGTTTAAAGTCTAGGCCAGTTTGAACCAGTCTCACTTGCAACTTTTTGGTTCTAAGCAGTAAGCAGTCTGAAATCTACAAACTGTCTCTGACATCATTCCTGCTGCTCTGCTGAAGTATACGCTTGATGTAATTGGGCTAATCATTTTAAATATTAATAGCGCTCTCAGTACAGGTCTGTCCCAGGTAATTTTAAATATGCGGCTGTTTGCCGGCTTCTTTAAGAACCCTATTCTGACTATGATAAACTCATTAATTTTAGGCCTATATCATAGCTTCCTATTACTACTAAAAATATAGAGATGAATGTTTTTATTCAATTAACTACTTAACTTGCTGCTTCTTGTTACTTGTCTTGCTGACCTCTTCAATCATTTTTTAAGACCCATCATAGAACTGAAACTGCTCTTTTAAGTTTAGAATGATGTTCTTTATTAATTCGGGGACCCCAGCTGCTCTGATACGTTTGGACCTATCTGCTGAGTTTGATACAGTAGAAACTATATTTTGCTAGAAGAGTTACTGAATTTTGGTTTGAGAGGGTAAGTGCTGAATTTCATTAGATAATATTTAATAAGCAGAATGTTTTCCATTGCAATTGGTGATTTTTTTCCTCTTCACCTCTTGCCTAAACTGGCAAATCTATTTACCGTTATGCAATAGTTCAGTCGTCCCTTATGGCTTGTTTAAAGCCGTCCAGTCACTTGGACCCTTTTTTTTTTATGCTCATAAAATTTGGTTGTTAAATATTTTTCTTCAAGATTTGGACCATTCTTTCACCAGCTGACCTTGAACCTGTTACTCATGTGTTTGTGACCTCTAGACTCGGCTGCTGTAATTCGCTGTATCTTGGAATTAACCAGTTGCCGGGATTCTAACTACATCATATTTCTCCTATCCGAGCTTCTTTTCACTGGCTACCTGTGAGATATAGGATTGATTTCCAGATTTTTCTGATGGTGTTCAAAGCCCTTGCGCATATTCTATGTCTGTCTTCACTATCATCCTTTTAGATCATCCAATCAGTTGTTACTAGTTTCTCTCTGGTCTAGGCTTAATATAAGGGTTATGGCGCCTTTGCAGTACATGCTCCACGGCTTTCGAACAGTCTATGGTTGCATGTTATGTCTCCCTCCCATATGTCTCCCGCCTCTTTAAGCTAAAAACCTACTTTTCTGTGGCTTTTTTGCTAAGTAGTCTTATATGGTTCTTTTTTTTTCCCTTCAAAGCACTGTGGTGTGACTTTTGTTTCTGGAAACGTATTCTATAAATAGTCTGGGTTGAGTTGAGAGGGTCTGGATAAAGAGCAAAGGCCTGAGTTGTGTGGAAGCACTTCACATTAAATGTGAAAGAAAATGCAGAAATTCAGAAGACTCTGGTTTAAGGCTCCTAAGGCTAACCATAGACAAGTGTAACCTCTGTGCCCTTCAGTCTCTTGGAATAGCCTATTCTCTGTCATTACTTTGCTTTCAAGTACTTTGCTTTATTTACTTTCTGCTATCTCTATCTCAAGATAATTGCCGCTAAAATGAAGGCTGTCCTCATCACATAGCTGCATCATCTTACATAATATTCACAATATTTGTGAAGCAAAAGAACTTGGAATATTACCTAAAATTAACTACATAAATAGAACTAAACAGTTACCAATATCACAAGTGTGTGACCCAAATTGGCAGTGCTGCCTCAAGTTGTGCTAACAGACGCAAAGCAATGCCGACAAATGACGTGCTTTTATTTAATAGCGTTTCTAGTGAATTGGATAATGCTGTTGCTGCACACTGCCACTCTGTGTGTTTGTGTGTGTGTGTGTGTGTGTGTGTGTGTGTGTGTAGTTTGAATGTTCTCACTGTGTGTGGTTTTACGCTAGATCCACAATCCAAAATTTAAGTGAGTGAGTGAGTGTACCCTGCGATGGGCTGGTGCCCCATCCAGGGTCAGGTCCTGCCTCGCACCAATTGCAATAGAAATTTATACATGTATTATGTAAATAACTCAGGTTAATCGGTACATTACTTGATTGGTGATGTAGTCGATAGTAACAGCCCTATTCTGCTGTATCAGGATGTAGTCCAGCTTTACCTGTGCTGCCGGCATATGGTTAGGGTTCAGAGTAGGTGGCTTGGCGTTCAGTCATTTTTCGGCATCGTGATGTTCTTTAAAGACTTGCTGCTGCAGCACAGCCTGAAATAGTTGTGGCCCTTTGTGGGTGAAAGTCATGGAAGTTTTGGTGCTTGGAAATCTAATGACCCTGTGAATGTGAAGCAGACTGACTGGTGTAAGTTGACAGCATGTCAGCCCCTGTGATTGTATATCTAATTCCACCCTGTTTGTCTGCTTTTTTTTTTTATTTTATTTTTTATTTTTTTTTTTAAAAAAAAAAAAAAAGCTCTCCTGCTCCACCAGCGAGCAAGGATGGAGCGGTTGGTGAAGGAGCTCCTTCTGGAACGGCAGAAGCTAGAGCAACTGAAGGCCGATGTGAACGAGATGGAGTACGATGCCCTGCAGAGGCGCTTCCGCAGGGTCAACAGCTCCAGCTTTATTCCTCGGGTGAGTTCAGGTGCCCCCCCCCATACATTTCACCCTGTGCTGGGGGGCCATCTCGCTTTTGATAGCACTCAGGTGGTCTTCTGTGAGGACGTGGCTCAGACTGTAATGCATCATGGGATATCTAGCTCCGGATGGACACCTTTTCCATGCTTTTGTTGTGCTTCTGCACTGGCTGATTTAAAGCTGGCTGCTGTCCTGAGTAATCAGGGCTAGGTGTGGCTGCCGGTATGGATGGCACGCCCTTAAGCTACAGACTAGTGATCTGTCCAGCAGCTATGCTTTTTTACATTGTGTAATATCTTCAGTGGTCACTCCCTTTCAAACAATCCAGTTTCTGCTCCTTCATTGTAGAGGGACAGTTATGTTGTGCGTAAAAGGTGAATTATTTATAAGCATCTCACACATTTGAGGGTGTAGGAATGTAGCACTCGTTTCCTGTAACGATAAAAGCAATTAACAGCTCTGGAAGTCTCCGTGAAGATTCAGCATACCGTTACGCCTTCTATACAAGACTGTCTGTTAAATTATAGTTACAGTGAGAATTACAATCCTCTTCAGACGATTGTCCTGCTCTAAGTTCCAGCGTGTCTCCAGCGGAAACTGATACTTGCACGCTTTTTCATTCTTAAAAGAATCCTTTCTGGCTGGTAATGAAATCAGTCTCTTCATTAAGCTTGTTCTTTTCACTTTAATGGAAGCAAAACGCTGATTTATTTTTAAGTCTAAGCAAGTTTAAACTGGCCTGGGGGGCATAAATTTTGTACTCATCAGCCTGCCGGGGTCTCTGTGAGCTGTAAGAACCCCACGCATTTGTCTGGAGTCACGTGCTGGCGCCCTAACGTGCGTGTCTCACAGCCCGAGGAGATGACTCGTCTACGGGGCCTGAACCGGCAGCTGCAGATCGACATCGACTGCACCCTCAAGGAGACGGACCTGCTGAAGATCCGAGGTACCGGCCAATGACGTCATAGGGCCGAGTCACCCCGTGGCTGATGGCAGCCTGCAGCTCGTCCTGCTGCTCACAGATGCCCCCAGGGTCGTGCCTCTAGTAGGCGGGGGCCCCTCAGGCGAGCCGTCACGCAAATGAATGTCTGCTTTCTGCAGGGAAGTTCGACCCAAAAGCCATGAGCAACTTCTACGACAACATCCAGCCGGGTCCCGTGGTGCCGCCGAAGCCTGTGAAGAAAGGTGACCCTCAGCACGTCCTTTCCGGGAGACGGTGGAGAGCATAGTGGCATTCGGAGTGCCGCTCCCCACAAGGGCATCACAGGACGTGTTGCTTAGGCTGTGTGCCGACGCGCACATCTTGCTGCTTTTAGCCCTTGTTCTGTCATTGTGGCGTGTGTGTGTGTGTGTGTGTGTGTGTGTGTGTGTGTGGTCCAGGTATACCTTACCTTGTGGGGACCAAATGAATACCCATTTTTTTTTACATACCTTTTATAAAAATCCATGACTGCAATTGAAAAACTACAAATGCAAAAACTTGTATTTTGTTTGGTTAGTTATGGTTATGGTTGGGTAGGGGTTAAGGTTGTCATAGTTAGCATTAGCATTTTTCCCATACAAATGAATGAGGAATGAGCGGTCCCCAAAAAGATATGATTACATGACTGTGTGTTGGTTTGCATAGATCACGTTTGAGGACCAAATTGTCCCCAAAGTGTAGTAAAACCTGAAATTTCCCTACTTTTGGGGACATGTTTTGAGGTCCCCATTTGGATAACCTAATTTTTTTTAAATTCTGAATGCAATCAAAAAAGTAAAAATGCTTGTATTTGTGTTGGTTACTTATGGTAAGGTTAGGGATGGGTAGAGGTTAAGAGTGTCGTGATTGGGATTATGGTTTTTCCCATAAAAATGAATGGACAGTCCCCATTTAGATAGGAAAGACCAACTTGTGTGTGTGTGGGTGGTGTCACTGCATTATTGTACTGGGGGCAGTGTGTGGCTCAGTGGGCTAGGACACTGTACCTGTGATCAGAAGGTCAATAGTTAAAATCCCCGGGTCGACAGAGTGATATCACTGTTGGGCCTTTGAGCGAGGTCCTTAACCCCCAATTGCATCAGAGACTGTGATCCTGCTTTCTGAATTTTATATCGCTCTGGGTAAAAGCAACTGCAAAATTAATGTAATGTACTGGATAAGTAGAATGGATGGCTCTGGATTCCGTGGGCACCATCTAGGCTATGTTTTTTTTTTTTTTTTTTTTTTTTTTTGCCATGTGAGTTTCTGTCTTGGCCGTCTGAGTGATTGCGTCCTTTCTCGTGTGCGGTGTCACTGTGACCGTGGTGTGTCCTGTGCGTGGTTCAGCTGGGTTTCTTCCCCTGTGTGTGAGCTCTGTTTTTGCCCCCCCCCCCCCTCCAGATGGAGTCGTGCGCTCCGTGGCCGGTGGCCGGTCAGCCCCACAGGACGAGGACTTTGAGGGGGCCCAGTGGAACTGTGAGAGCTGCACTTTCCTCAACCATCCGGCGCTGAACCGCTGCGAGCAGTGCGAGATGCCCCGCTACACCTGAGCCAGTGTGGAGGCGACGCCACCCCCAATCCCCCCCCCCCGCCCCCGCCGCACCACGCCCTAGCTGACGCCACGCCCTAGCTTTGAGTGCCCACCCTGAAGCTTCCCTAGATCAGTTTGCATTACTCTAGATGTTTTAATTTCAGATAAAATGAGGGCACACAGAGGCCTTCTGCCTCGGGGTGAGGAAGCTGCAGTGGCCCTGGGCAGAGCCAGACCCCACGGCACAGTTGGCTGCCTGGAAAACGGCCGGACAGAGATCTCCGTGAGGGTGGGCGGTAACCATGGTGACTGGAATGTATCAATATCCTAGTGAAAAACTGATTGCCTTTACCACCATCCCCCCATGTCACCTGGAAAGTACCTGGGCCTTCTGTCGGATTACAGGCCTACAGAACATGACTGCTTTGCATTGACTGACTTGAAAAAGAGTATCCAGGTGTTATGGTTCTCATGCTAGATGTACACTGTATCTGCTCCGAAGCTGAATGACACTAAGAGAACTTGCATTTTAAATATATTCCTGGTACCTTTATGCATACTCTGCTACACTGTAATCTGAATATGTTCCTTCGTGTGGATGCTGTATTTAAAGCACCCGTTCTATGTGAAACTGCTGGACTGTGAGGTACACAGTGTGTGAATATATACGTGCGGATGTGTGTATCTCCCTCTGTCCTGACAAGGTCATGTCTTTGTATAATTCAGAATCATTTGTGAATTTTGTGATTATTTTTTTTTTTTGGGGGGTGGGGACTACTAAATAACATTGGCTGTAGTTTAAACAAGTTGGACTGGTTTTTACTGTTTGCCCAAAGAGTATGAAAGACTACCTGCAAATAACCGATAATGCAGTATTTGTAGAAATAAGGTATATGATGTTATCAAATCAAAGTATTCATTCGGTCATTAAACGAATGCGAGTTGGAGCTCTGAGACTTGCACCTTGTTTTATAGGCATCATTAACTCATAACATTTTTATATTAGAGTCCAAGGTTCCCTCAGAATAGAGATGTTGCATATTTTTTTTCCTGCTGCGTGTCTGTCAGTTTTAATTCAGGTGTTTTAGAAGTTTTGATTGGCTCGCGTGAACCGGTAGTCCTGCTTTGATATTGGCTTAAATGGTGTCTGTGCAGCAGGTATGGGGCCCTTACATCTGTAATGAGGAATCTTTAGTGTCTGTATTTCCCCTATATATGATTTTTCTGCACTTTTTGATGATGGTTGTCAGTGACACAAATCGTCTAGATAGCCGGGTTGGAGAAAAAATCTCAAAATTTATTTAGTTGTTTTTTGGTACCTCAGAACCATGTTAAAACAGTAATTTAACTAAAACTGAGAACCAGATTCTGCTGCAATATGTGTGTGTGTGTGTGTGTGTGTGTATGTGTTTTTATTTTATTTTTTTAAAAAGAAGGTGCACCTCCGTTCCCCCTTGTTGCAATTGACGCCGTTTGGGATGCATAGTATGCATTGTATAGGTGGAAATATGGTCACTCACCGCCTGACCTCTCATCTAGCGTAATCTTCAGTGAAATCACGACAGCCTTCCTCTCCTGCACTTGCTTCTAGCTGCTTTATGCTTTTAATTGTGACTTTTTTTTTCTGCATTTGTGGCTATCAGAATGGAAGAGCTTGTACTCCAGGAAGTGGAACGGTGAGCTGGTTGTTTTTTTTTTTAACGGAAACTACACTCCTTAGATGCTGAGTTTTTCACATCCTCTGAGAAACTAGCACTTTTGCAGATATGTGCTTGAGGCTTCCTTTACTTTTTGAGGAAGGTTTTTTTTTTTTTTTTTTTTTTGCTACACTTGAAAAATTCTGATCCTGCAGGCATTCTTCATTCATCCTCTGTTTAAATCCTAATTTGCATTTTTATGTGAATTTTTTTGTTCGATGCAAAAAGCTTTCTGGTCAGAATGTCTCATTCCTCAGGGTCACAGACTTTCAGGTCAAAATCTACACTGTGTGCTTTTCCTACAGGGTGGGCCTTTGTCTGCATGCCGTTGCTCAAGTTTGCTGAAGGCGGCCCCTGTCCTGCACTTCACTCCTGTGTCCACTGGATGGGGCAGTCCTCATGAGGTATAAAACAATAAAGCAGCATGGACTAGCCTTACCCGTTTCTTGAATTTATATTTTGGTGCCCACTTGTGGTAATGCCTAAAACCATTTACATATAGGAGACGTTATTTTGGGACTCATTGGGGATGACTTCAAATCATAGTATATTTACAAATACCAGATCTCTCCCTGGTTCCCACCTGCTTTTCTGTGCTTGAAAACTTTGTAAAATTATGTTGTTGCTACGTATAGTTCTGGAGTCTGATGCCCATAAATGCTATATGTTTTGCACTAAAAAGGGTTATATCATCACTGAATATTAAGACTAGTAATTTGCCCCAAATACCTAAATGCTGGGAGCAGTGTAGTAACCGCTTTTTCTCTATTGAAAGAAATGTCAAATCTGATGGATGATTCTATAGTTTAAAAAAAGTCTTGGAATTCAAGTAAAAAAATAATAATAATGTAACCAGGCAGAAGATAACGGCGTGCTTTATTGATATACACAGTAAAGCCATAATATATTATAATACAGTAGTAAGGCATATATTTGGTGGATTTTGATGTGAAGGAAAATGTATAACAATCTATGAAAAATGAGTACATGATAGACAAAGTTAGAAATTAATACAATAGCTGAGATTTTAAAACCTCCAGCAACATGCTGCTGCCATAATGTGAAAGTGCTCAGTTTTGTTTGATTTATTCTCAACACTCTAAATTCTGGTTATACAAGAAAAAATGCTTGGGACATATCAAGTACTTGGATTAAATATTTTTCCCTCCAAAACACACTAACAACAAAGCGTCTGTGTTACCCAGGCTGAACCCTCTGCAAGTTGAACACGTTAAGTTTTAATCCATCTGCTCTAATTTGGCAAAAGTAGGGAGGAAAGTAGGTATAAACCTGCTTGTGTGGTACCTTGAAGTCTTAAGTTTATTCAAATCTTATGTAAATGGTCAGTGGAAGGAGTACCGCTAGAAACTAAAGTGAGGTAGAACTTGCTTCATTACAATGAGGCTGCATCCAGTGTAGAGATGCTGCTTCTCCTGGCACTCATGCTGTGATCAGTTGCTCCTCTGTAAAAAATAACTTCCAAAACTGGCCAAAAAAGTTACTCCAAGTAGTCTTTTTATACAATTTCCCCCCAAACTCAAGATAACATTTAAAAAGTGGTTTTAGAAAATAGTAGTCTCCTGTACTCTTTAAACAGTGCGATATGTGAAAGGTACATACATCACTTTTTGTAAATTGTCCAAAAAAAAAATCCTAACTGCTGATGCTTAAGAGCAGAGGATTCTGGGAAAGCTGCAAACTTAGTTAAAAGAATGGCCAGTGACACGGACGGATCATTCAAAATTCAAACGCAGTTGTAACACTGTTAATGTACTCGAAGCTGTAAGGTTACAGAGTTGACACATTGCCTATAAGTCGTGACATTATGATTTTTTTTTTTTTATAAATAAAACTATTATATAAAGCACCCTCAAGTTTACAATCTTTCTTATTACAAATGTTTATTTTTTTTTACAATCAGAAATGCGCTCAATACATAGAAACAGTAAGTTCACACTATTTTCACACAGTTTTGAATTTTTTGTACAATTGCATAGAACTGTAAAAACCTTTGTTAATAAAACCAATTTTTTTTAGATTTAAGAAACTACGTAAAACTACAAGTTTGTAACCATGATCCTTCACAAAAATATATATGTATAGTATTTTTTTTTTCTTTGTAAACGTTTCCAGTCTGGTCATCTGACTATAAAAGCATGCTGGGGGGGGGTGCTCTACGCTCCTCCTGGCCCTGCTCAGCCGTCATCACGCTCACCAAGGACTCCATGGCCCGGCTCAGGTCGTCGGCCATGTGGAAGAGGCTGCCGACGGCATGGCCTGCGGAGGAGGTGCAGCTTCTGTCATACGTCTACACTGGAACCTGAGCGGCATGCTGGGACGCGGCCAGCCTCGCACGCACGCACGCCGTTCCAGCAGAAGTGTGTCAGTGAACCTTAGAGGGGTTCTCTGCTGACACCCACCCCAGCCCCTGAATCCCCTTCTGAGCCCCGGGGGAGAAGCGGACGGGAAGGGACATGCGGCCATTCCCGGCGATGCAGCGGCGCAGGGTTTGTTGCAGGTGGCAGCAGGAGGCGAGCCCATGTGGGAGAGGCAAGAGGAGGAGAGGCAGAGCAACAGCATGGGGCGGAAGAGAGTAACCCCACTAACCTCTCACTGGTTTCCCCGTCGCCCACCTTCCTCAGAGAAACACAGGAGAGGCATGGAAAGGACCAGGTGGGAAAAGAACAAGAGTAAATCAATCTTCCCAGAGGGAAAAGGAAAACAAGGGGAAAAACTGGAGTTTATGCAGGTTTGTTTCTGAGGGAGTGGCAGTGTGAGGTGCATGTCCTGATTGTTCTGTAGCAGCATTCATATGGCGTGTGTTTGCGTGGTGGCCATTCTACTGCGTCCTACCCTGGGTGTGGGGAAATGAGTTGTTCAGCTGCTCCATCACTTCTTCCAATCCTGTGCTTGTGTCTTGGGACGGGCTGGACAACTCGTCGTCGCCTGAATGGCACGTAAAGCAAAATCAAACGCCCTGCCCTACTTGCCTGAGTTGAATTCATGTTTATTGGTCACTGTAATTTTACACTGCATTCTTGCCCTGCAGTAATGCTGTATAACAAACCTGCTGAAATAATATCAGCAGTGATGTCCTTCACCTGAAAGTAAATGGGTAAAATCTGTATCAAACAGGGCATCACTTCCTTGTCACTGAGGAAATCTGACGTTCTGATGTGTAATAGGCGTTCTGGTGTTCTCTACGGGGAAATGTTGGTGTTTTAATTTGCAGTGAACTCAGTGCTGCACCCAACCTGTAAAGCATTACGGTTCCTGCGGCTGTAAATAGTCTGTACCTAGTGCCGTTTCGCGATTACAGCAGCATCTCACGCTGATCCTATCACTGCACTGTGGCGTTACACCCAGTGATGCTGCTCCACCAGTGGCGTGTACTGGGTGATGCATGCTCTGTCACTTACCCATTGTCTCCGTGGTCTGACTGGCCACCACGCGCAGGTGGGGGAGGCTGCTGTCTGATCGCTGGGAGGAGGTAGAGGGGGACGAGAGCGCCGTCGTGCCGTTCAGCTTGGTGTCCACCTGGGGCTGTAATTAGAGAGCATTGTCTGTTTGGGGGGGGGGGCTCGTCTCGTCCGCCAACCTCTGGCATGAGTAAACAACACCCTTGTGACCTTAGATTAAAATATCAGCCATATGCAGTTTCAAAGCTACAGTACTTCTCCACTGTGCAATGGTATCTATAATTAAAATAAATGTATGTTTGCGCTGTGTTGAGTCGAGAACAATCTTAGTACCAAGTTTCTTGCCTATATGATGTCAGGCAGGGCCGGTACAGAGACGGGTGCCTGACTCCCGTGAGCTCGCAGTGCCCCAGGCGGCCTCACCTGCTCCAGCAGCTGGCGGAGGCGCTGCAGCTGTGACTCCAGCTGCTTGTTGTGGTCCTCCAGGATCTGCATGCGTGCCTCCAGCCGGCCCTTGTGCTGCCTCAGGAGCTTGGCCTCGGCGATGAGCTCGGCATCCCGGGGGCTCTGCGGCGACACGGGCAGCATCTCGGGGGGCGAGGGCAGCGGCGACAGGCCCTTGCGGTCGTGGGCCTGCTTCAGCCGGTCGTACTCGGCCTGCAGGTTCCTGAGGAGGACGGTCACAGTGAGGCGTTAGCACACACTGCCGCTAACAAGCTATGCTCATGATTATAACAGGAAATGGAAGTATCAAATTAGAAAATACTCAGAAGAAATTTCTTCTAAGCAAGCTTATTTTCACTTTATTGTATTTAATGGTTTTTTATTATTATTTTTAAATTTCACTCATTACATCATTTTGCTTGTGTTAAGTGCTGGCCTGTAGGTTTCTATCTATCTTTTCCCTTTGTTAAAAATTTCTGTATATACAGAATGTGCATTCAGCTAAAATGCTTGTGTCAGTAATCTGCTATTGTTGCCAAGTCAGCTTACTGGCTTAGTTAGGGACCACTGAGGAAGGGCTAATTCAGTTCATTAATAACAGTTAACCGTGTGGTTAGGTAAGTCACTTTCGCTAAGATGATTTTGTTATTCATTAGATGTTTCACTACAAAGCAATGTAAAACTCAGAAAACAGGGTCAGCCCGTCCCTGGAGTAACTGCAGGAAAGGGCCTTGCTGAGGAGCCCAATGGCGAAATCGCTGCCATCCACACGATTGGTACTGACAACATTCTGGTCCCATACGGTGTCTTGTTCCATAGAGCCACAAATCACCCTGTGCTGTCCCAAGATAAAAAATCTGAAATGACACTCTGTATAAGCTACAAGGCTGGAGTGAAACCCAGTAACTGTGTGGTTGGACTTTTTATGAAGCCTAAATGCAAATTTACATACATTAATTTACATGCATAATATTGTAACAATTTCAGGGGTGTTTGTGAAAATAACCTGTCAGCAGCCACAGTTCATACTAGGCAAGCTGCTTGAAGCTAAGCAGGTTTGGGCCTGGCTAGTACTTGGATGGGAGACCAACTAGGAAAGCTGGGCTGCTGGAAGAGGAGGTGGTGTGGTCAGTGTGCCTCAGTGCAGTGACACTGCTGTAAAAATGGTGCTGTCCTTCAGATGAGATGTAAAATTGAGGTTATAAAACATCTCTAGGCATCTGTGGAAGGAGTAGGGGTGGTACCTCCTGATCATCCCCTGTATCTAATTAGTGAATTCTCTCCTGCCTTTTGATGCAGCTCCCCATTGGTTCTGTAAAGTACTATATAAATGACTTTCATTCATTCAAAAAGACATTCCACTGAGGGAAAAACATCAACACAACCACACAGCTTATCATGCCTAAGGACTTACTGTATGATTTTAAAAATTTTATGCACAGTTTATATCATAGCAGCAGCTCAGAGTTGGTGGAAGGTTCTGAGAAGGACGGCGGTGTGTACCTGTTCTCCTCCTCGAGGTCGCTGAGTACTCTCTCTAGCTCGCCTCGCTCCTCCGTCTCCAGGGAGATGAGGATCTGGGCGGGGCTCCGCGGCTGGCTCAGCGGAGACTCCTGGTTCAGGCTCTGGCAGTAATGCTGGATCAGCAGGTGCTCGTCGTCACTGCAACGCATCATGAGCAGCGTCAGACTGACAGCTTAGCAAGGTACCAGCTGGGAACAGGGCCCCCCCCAGCCGCAGAACCCGGTCATGGCAGCACAGGTGAGGGGGAGGGAGAGAGAGAGAGAGAGAGAGAGAGACACCATCCTCCACCACACTCACTCTAACAGCCTCACCTAGCAAGCCAAACCCAGGTAGAACGGGACATTAACAGGAGTAGTGCTTACATGCTCTCATTGGGTGATATTCCATCACTGATGCAGGTGCCATTGCGCGTTTCCATTTCTGCTAGCCTGTAAATGGTGAAGAGGGACCACAAACACACTGAAGGGGAAAAAACAAGCTATCCAAGAGTCAACTTCTCATTATAAAAGGGGTCAGTCAAAATAAAAAAAGAATAAACAACAAGTCTTCAATAGACCTTATTCACCACTAGGGGGCACCAAATGAGTGATAGTATCCCATTGGTAAACCTATTAACATTCCTCTGATAATGCTGTCCTGTGCAGTGTATTTTTTAACCTTATTGTAAAAACACAGTGTTACTGTGTTCTTGCTGTATTATCCTTAGTTACTGTATCACTTTACGTGATGGATTACGATGGAATGGTGTTTAAAGTGGGTAGTGCATGTCTTACCTGCTGGCATAATGTTCGATGCGGGAGTGGGTGTCGTCATGGGACAGTTGGGGAGAAGAAGTGGGCCTGCAGGCAGAAAGGGGGTAAAATGGGGATGTGGTGAGAGGTTCATTTTCACCTCACACACTCACTTCTTACTGGTATCCATGGTAACCCTTCCATGTAGAGTTTCATAAAGGTATTAAGACTTAAACACGGCCCGATTGTACTGATGTCCAACTCAAACCCTATAGTCAGATCTCCTTCCAGCAATTGGTTGCTGCTAGAAAAGAGAAGACAGAAGATTTTCCAAGTCTACCACTGGGAGGCAGTATTACCTGAAGGTCTCCAGAATTTTATATATCACACAGGACAATCCTCATCAAAGGTGACCTTTAAAACCCTGAAAAGGAACAGCACACCTACAGGCTGTATGGACACTCATCTCCAAACCCGGGAAGCAGAGGCAAAAAGGGGTAGAACATAAAAATAAGGATGGAGGTGGAGGATTGTGAAGCAGGTGAGTTGGACTGAGCAGGGCTAACACGTGAAGGTCTGAGGCTAAAGTCTGCATGGACCGATGCACGTGTGAGGTTCTGCATGTGCACGCGTGTGTGCGGGACAGGCAGTGCCCGGGCCAGCTGTTCGGAGTACTCACGCATAATCTACAGGCCAGAAGTTGATCAGTGTAACAGGACTGCAAGACAAAAAACGTGAGATGAAGACAGAGGCAGCAGGGAGCAAGTGAGACACTCTTTCACAAGGAGCAAAAGGCATTAGCGCAATGGGCATCGAATGGACAGCAGGAGGGCAATGAAGAGCAACTGTCTGGCCACACCCCCCTTCTGACCTGCACACAAACACACGCAGAGCCTTTCACCGATAACCCCAACGCACTGAATGATGTCTGTAAACGAGGATGAGTGCAGTCCTCCAAATGAACCAAGAAGAAGATGAGAGCAAAAGAAAGGCAGTTTATTGGGCCAGGAGGTGTCGTTAATGGCCACGGCCAGGTGACATGACTCACGTCTCTATGTTGTCCCCCTCCAAAACGGTCTGCACAGGGAGATAGCCCATCCGAGGGTGCTTGGCAAAGTAGCGCTTTGTCCTGAATTTGTTTTTCAGCACCTTGGCAAAGTCCCGCACATCCTCCCCCGAAGTCGTCTGAAATGCAAGATGCCAACAGTGAGGCCCTTGTTTGGGGGAGAGCTGGGAGAGAGCCCCCCCTCCCACCACCAGCCCCAATAGCTCCACACACACATACACACAAATACGACTTTTTATGCTTACACAGGGAGACTGGCCATTATACACTCACAGAAAGGTATCTTACAGTGACACTATTTTCTATGCTTACTCTACAGTATGGTTAAAGTACCCAGTGGTATACACGTGCATTTTCAGAGGCAGACAGGCCCACACATGAAGCGGCTCACGCTTACCGGGGTACAGTACTCCACCATCGGATACTGCATCTTGTGGCCCTTTGCAACACGTCCAGAGAAGAAACAGCTTTGGCAGATGTCATAGTTAAAGTGCTTTAAGCTCCTGTACCTGAGAGAGAGAGAGAGAGAGAGAGAGAGGTTGGGTGGACTGGGGTGGGGTGGACTGGGGTGGCCCTGTGGGGGGTCTCCGTACCTGAAGCCGATGATTGGACACTCCTTGCAGATGTTGCACTTAGCCTGGTGCTTAGCGGTCTCAGCGGCCGCCACACGGTGCAGAACGGGCAGCCAGACCATGGACTGCGGCTCCAGGCGCATCCAGTCCAGGAAGACGGCAGCTTCCAGCTCCGGCTTGTTATTGGCCTTTTCGCAAAAGAACACAGGGCAGCCAATTAGAGAACTGGACCCCCCCGCCCCCCATTGTCCCCCTCCAGGGAAAGGTTTCCAGGGAAAAACACCTGACACGACATTCCGAACGATTAATGATTAAATACTGAGAGGGAAGGGAGCAGGAGCTTTAGGTGTGTGTGTGTGTGTGTGTGTGTGTGTGTGTGTGTGTGTGTGAGAGAGAGAGAGAGAGAGACGGGTAAATACGCTCGGTCAATGCAACACTCAGAGTGGTCGTTTGTCTCCGTGGAAACTGTCTGACCTTGGGGGTCAGTAACGGAATGCAATGCTTTACCCCTTAAATTCAGACACCAATCTCAAATCAAACACACACACAAACAACCCCCCTGGCACAATAGTGTGTCACTTAACCCCCTCCCCTTCTGTGCAAACAGAGGGCAGTTAAGGGGCCCTTGAAAGTTTTCTGGATGCACTTTGCCAGGAAAGCAGATTAATGGATTAATAAGAAATGCTCTTTTATACTTCAGACTTTGCCTCTCCGTCTCTCTCCCCCCAATTGGCATCGGGGACGGGATATGCGTGCGATCACGTACGAACTGGAAGCAGCTCCGAACGCTGGGCTCGATGTTGCTCCCCCCGAAGGACGCGACCTCGCCCAGCTGCCGGGGGATCTGGATGGAGTCATGGAGGAGGAGGCCCAGGTGCCGCTGGTCACAGAAGCCAGTGGCACTCGCTACCTGTCTGAAAAGGACTGCAGAGGACGCGGGGTCGGGGGTCAGCACACACACAGCCAATCACAACATACTTTTTTTTGTGTTTATTTATACACATACTCACATCTGTATTTGTCCTCCAGATGGGCTTTACAGAGTGAAATTATTCCAGTCTTGAATGACAGAGCGCGAATCTTTCCTGTTCGGCCTCTGTGGAAACGATATGCTATTAAACACACAGAAGGTACAGAAAGCACAAGCTCAGGCAGAAATATACACACACATGTGATAAAATTCACACATGCATAAAGGGGGACATTCATTCAACCCACAGAGACAGAAAGAAAATGGAATGTACTTAAGTCAGGTATGGGTGCGTCACTTGCTTTTAAACACAGGAGGAGACCCTCTGTCACACACAGGCAGATGTTAGGCTTTAGCTGAGAGAAACGTGGGGGACAAGCGTACGTGTCGTAGACGTTGAGCAGCCAGTTGAGACACATGTCCACGCAGAGCGGCACGTTGACCAGGTTGCTGTGCTGCTGCTCCAGCCGGTTGTAGATGCTGGTCAGGCAGTTGATGATCTGCATGATGTCCAGCAGCTGCTCGTTCTGCTTCAGGTTGTGCTGGTCGAAGGCTTCGCAGGCGGCCGACATGCCAAGGAGGTCCACTGTGCGGAAGAGAGTTTGTCACGCCGCTGTCGACGCAGAGAGCTGTGCTTCGCGGTGAGAGGGCGAGGGTTTGAGGGGGGGAGGGGCGGAGTTACAGGGTGTGAAAGGGTTAGGGTGACATTACGGCGGAGGCAGGATACTCACGGCACAGGGCCTTCTGCAGCCTCCTCAGCTTCATTGCCGTCCTGTAGGCGGAGAAGCGCACGTTGTTCAGGTCAGCTGCAGGAGGAGAGGAGGAGGAGGTTACCATAGCAACAGCAGCCTGCTCTACCCAGGTACGCTCTGCAGTCTCTTGCAGACACGCAGATGCGTGTTTATGCACAAAGATACAAATATAAACAAACCCAAAGAAACACACACTTGCTCACTATCTCACTCCTACAGCCTGATGCGCATGCATGCACGCACACACACACACACACGCACACACACAGCAGGAGATGGATGTGTCACTGGGGGGGCAGAGGATGGATGGGAATGTTTTTCTCACCCAAAGACTGATAAAGTTCAGCCATCTTGGGATGATCCCAGCAGGTAGTCTGTGCCTGGTGGCTAAGGAGAGACAAGAGGTCAATACACAGGAAACTCAAGGCAGCTCAAGCTAGTTGTGTCGCTTGGTACTTGTGGAGGCGTTGAGACTCTTAAAATTATTAATGAATATTTATTAAGTCTAAATTATTAGACACCTAATTTTAAGAGCCTGTTACACCTTAATCTGTTACTTCATTGTTGTACGCCTTGCTTAGTTTAACACGTTTTATAAGACACCAGGGAAGTTGCACTGCAGCCTAGAAAATGTATTTGTCACACCAAAAGGAACAAAATAAAATATTATCTTTAAGTTACTGTAACATACCTACAATGCACTGTGTAGCCTTAAAATTTGGTTACAGAACAGCAAAACCAGATTCACCTCTAGGAAAGCAATGCGAGCTGTTGGATTCCTTTGCTCTTTGGAGATTTGGTTTCAGGTTCTCCACCCACCCATTTCGTAGTGAAGAAGAGAACTTTACTTTAAGCGGCATGATTTCTGTACAGCAGGATGATAAAACTGTGGGCTGAACCTAATGCTGAATATCTGCTCAGAATGTTGTCCTTTGGGAACAGGCAAAGTCACCATCTCTTCTGCTCATTTTCTCATGCTTTAAAAAAATAAAAAGAAGGACTGTTCACCCGGTGACCTGCCATGTTCCCTCAGTATGGCTAAGCCTAGCTTGGTCTAGTCATGGCTGAAGGAAGTCTGTCCTCAGGGAGCCGAGATACTGGTACAGATCTTCATGGTGGGCCAAACAGGATGCACATTAATGACTCATCTTATTTCCCTTTGCCTTTTCCACAATCTTCTCCCCATGCTGGTCATACACAGCTCTGTAGCAGACCGGCCCGTCCCGTGCAAACGGCAGGTGGAGCACAGGGTTACCCAGCCAGCCAGCTGGCAACGAGTCCCTCCCTCAATGGCCAAAAGCCAAATCGGATCAACAATCGGATTCGAGTCTTAGCTCGAGAAGTCAGATGCAGTGGTGGACTGAACCGCTTGGGAGGTCCAGTGAATCACTCTCTGAAGCTGCATAATGAGATTTCGGGCAGTCAGAGCCCACTGCAGTAGGAGAAAGTCACAGATCATTGTATGGATCTTACATCTCTGTCACAAAAATACTGCAAGATTTTTGGAAGGTGCTAAAACCGCAATATTATAGTACTGACTCACTTAAAGTGTGGCATGATGCATATGCTAACAGAGAACCATCACCTTACACCCCACCTGCAGAAAAAGATCATGTTGCTATTTCCGTAGTATCTGAAAATGATCTAAATCGGTTCTTGGCTTCCTCACTCATCATTTTATGAGAGCAGCCTAATGAAAACAAATGATATTGGGATCCCCTGCATTTTTTTTTTATAATAATCGTACCAGAACCATTTTCTCAATTTGGTCAAGCACATAACTGGTAACTAACTTAGCGGCCTATGCAGTCACTACGTTGGCATTAGGGTGAGATCCCATAAAACCGGCTCTGACTGCAAAATGGCAACAGGGACATCTCTCAGCGCCGATGCACGTTGGACAGTGGTGAAGAGGAGCCTGTTTGCTCACTTCTCCCAAGCCTTCATGCATATGGAGGAGACCTTAATACATATGTAATCGTGCCCATTTTGGTTGCAAGACTGTAAAACGTGGGAGGGATCATGAAAATACTGCCCTGATAAGATATAAAAACGGTGGTGACAACCGTATATGATGAGATTCTGGGATTATGCTAAAGCATATGAAATCCAGGTCGTAACGACCTCGGATAAAATGTGGAGTGTGGAATATGGGGGGATTATTGGAAAATGACTGGGATTAGCTAAAAGGTACATTTAATTTGAACAAACTCAAATCACTGATTTTTATGAGTAAACAACATAATTTAAATAAGCGATATTTAAAGAAAAAACAAAGCTCTTTTCTCAAAAATAGTGCTTGTCATTGTTTTTATGTGTGTGTGCGTACACACACACACACACACACACACATACACACACACGCCCAGCATATAGAGCATTAAATACAACCTAATCATAGTTCACCTTGTAGGCATTTCAATTAGTCTACCTTGCAAAATTTGCATTATACATTTACAAATTTGCCACAAAAGGACAAAGATTGTGCGTGCCCCCCCCCCCACCACAAAATGCATGAACTGCACTATTCATGCCCATGCTGTAAAAGCGTGCCGTACTTGAGCAAAAGTAAAACGTCAACCTGAACACAGCGCTCTAACTGGAGGCCCTTGACACTGAAGCTGAACACAGTGGAATACCAAGCACAGTCAACCTGAGCACTGCAGTAACCCAGGACGCCAAAGACACAGAGGCACAGGCCAGAGCCGACCCATATGAAGAGAGACTGAGAGCTATGAGCCAGAACAGCACTAAACCCGCATGCTGTAAAGCGAGTGTATAACACGGTGCCATAAAGCAGGAGCACAACACACCCCCCCCCCCCATAAACCTTGGGAGCCATGAAGGAAGAGCCGTGCAGAACCAGGCACAAAGGGCATGTGCCTGCGGGACCCATAAGGCCCCGGGGCACCAGCTGCTGCATGATTAAACGTGTCTGGGCGGCGGAGGGCGGCCCAGCTCCACACCCCGTACCTCTCTCACGTGGCCTCGCGATCCACGGCCATCCTGATGGGAAGCGGCGTTTAAACAAGCTCGCACCTTTATGGCCCGAGATCCTGCCGGTGTTCTCCTTCAAGGCTCACCCAGCATGCGGCCGGCCAGAATACGAGAGCGGCACCGCGTTGCCCTGAGCTCAGGGAAACTGGGTTACCGCTTTTCCCATATTTCCCAGATAAGAGCCTTTGTCGTTATTTATTCATACTCTATCAAATTAAACACAATGACCACTGTATGCATCATTAGACATGATCATTAGCTCAGCTGAGTATTTACATTACCAGGTACATGCGTAACCATGCCTCTCTTATAACCAGGTAGCACGATACTGTAGAATTCCAGTACAGTTATTTTAGTAAGTGACACCAGGTGATATGTAAATGGTGTAATTTTTTTAGACACCCTAAAACCTATGAAAAGCGCATCGACACTCGGGATACCTGCAGCTCTGCAAGACACAGCTGAGATTCCATGCACGGTGCTGCGCAGCGAGCAAGCCTAGGCAGGGAGAAGCGGCACAGAGACAGCAGCGTGACTAACCCACAGGCTGATTAAAACACACGCTGCTACAGCCCGCAGATGTGCGGCTGTTTTGTCTGCCCACACTGCCTCAAGATATAACAAGATATGCCGGATGCAGGGGAAAACTGCCTGTGGATATATGCTGAAATGTAGGGGCAGTGAATTAGTAATTCGGATACTGCTGGAGGTTTGTGTAACCTACAGAAACCTCCATATGCAAGGAAAGCAGGCAGCTTGATTACAGCACTAAGAGGAATAAACTTACAAGAAAACTAACTGAGCAAGGCAAGGCTACCTGTGCAAAATTTTCCTTCACCTTTTATAGGGAGGCAGTTCCCATGACAATCATGTAATGTTGTATGCAACAAGAGATTAGCATGAACTGCATTGTTATTTTTCGTTATATTGAAAATACAGGCAAGAGACTGTAAAACAGTGTTTAGATAGTCACTTTGTAAATTATTTTTGCAAGACCCTGATTGACTAAGCTGCTCAACAAAAGCAACAATAACATGAAGCAACTAATTACCCTAAAGCACCCAAGTCAAAATCATCCATACAAATACAAATTTAATCTGAACTGACAATTTGTCTCGCAAAAGCAAATGGCTGATTTTACAAAGTCTGTTCATCTAGCAGAATAGACATCCTTGTTGAAATGGACGGCTGTCGTGCTGTCAACTCATTTTTTTGACAAGAATAAGATCCAAATTTAAACATGAAAGTAATGCTTTAGTGCAGTTCGATCACCATCCCTTCTGACTGGACACACCTAAGTCACACTCATAGTAGTCTGAACCACATATCCTGCTAACAACTTTTAACAGTCTGTGTTGCTTGCAGGTCTATCAGCAAGAAATCTACACAGCCCAATTCAGCTGAACTACGATGGCATCTCTAGCCTCTGCTCAGATAAGCCTTCACAGGAATAAACCTCAGTCAATAGATGGCAAGAACATGTAGGAACATCTGTGGGGGCACAAAGGAATTAGAGCTCTAAAGGGCTGTTTCACGGCTTTCACGCAGAAATGCAGACTTCCGCACCTACCTGATAAAATCTAGAATCAAACAGGTTGAGAACAGAAACGCAAAAAGAGGAACAAATAATAATAAAAAAACCACGAGGACTGAGCAGTCATATGTACACACTGAGGACAATGTAAATATTAAGTATATTTATATACTACACTGCAAAAATATTATGCATTTATTACTGCCTTTATAAGCCACAGGCAATAGTAATGTGGAGTTTACACATGAAAAAAACACTAATTGTACAATAACATAAATCAGGTTGATTGACATGTGAATAAACTAGCTAGCTATTGCATTATTTGCATAACATGAGTACTGTTGGTTCACTTAGAAGTAGAACGATTCTTTAGACACCCAACAAAACTAAGAGCCAGGTGAACCTTTATTTTATGTGTATTTTTCTCAGTGCTGCAGCTTAAATTCGAAGGGCTATGGGTTTAAAGCAGGGCATCTGCACCTCCCTGCAAAATGTCCCACACTCCGAAGATTCAAAATTTTAATGCTCACATTAACTAGCTTATCTGCTGAAAACTTTTTCCAGGCCTGTTTAATTCCAAGCCCTGCGTGAACCATGCTTTACTCCTAAGTATGCAGAGGCCCTCAGAAATAATACGCTAGCAGGAGCAGCCATTTTTCGGAGTCACGGTCCCGAGGTAGTACAGTAGCATAGTTGCAGGTAGCTGAAGGAACAACACAGTTTAACACCGTGACCTTCCCCATCATTAGGGTCCTGGGAGCCTTTTATCTCAGTGTGAAAATGGGGTTTGGCTCCGTGCCAATTTCCCCAGAATCACCTTGCTGATCTGGGGTGAATGTCCAGTGTTTACAAGTTTTCAAGTCAGCATTAGCCAAATATGTAATAAGGGAGAGTAGACGTAAGATCCGATTTCTCTTTTTTATTTATTTTGTTGGGGGGGGGGGGGCAAATATTAAAAAATATAAAGACATGATTATATTAGCACTTCTGATCTGGTACCAGTATCAGTTAACAGCTTCTCTGATACTGAGGTTGGTGATTCCACAAAGATTTATTCGCCCATTCCAAAGCAAAGGTTTTTCTTCAAAGGCGGGTGACATCTGAAGGTGAATTTAACTGACAAACCTCAGATGTCGAAGTCGTCAAAGACACCTTTTTTCCAAGCAAACTTTATCCGGTTTCAGAGAGGTGGCGTTCAGAATTCTAATATTCAATTGACATTGCTAAAGACACCAAAGGTAAACTCATACATATTTCATCATCCATGTGCAACCCCTGGCAGAAACTACATTGATTAGACGCCTAGCTTTTAAAGACGTATAAGCGCGTGATCCCACACACGTGCAGAATGCAGATAAAACAAATAATAAAACCAGCGTTTGGTCAAAAACCAGAGACTACAGAATAAAAAACAGACATGGTAAAAAAAATAATATCAGCTGAATCTAACAAGTGAATCTGCATATAACAGCAATTACTTCATACCACGCGGTTTAAGGACAATCGGATTTTCCAATTTCCAATTTTACGGTTATGACTATGACACGATGGATTCAATGTAACGCTGCACAAAAAAAACAGATTGCAAATTAGGAGCAAGGCTGGCACTCTTGCACTTTTTCCACTAGAATAAGTGGCATTCCTGTTAAAGACAGGGCGAAATTTAACCGCAAATATTCAACCTGTTTAAGTGTTGCAGGGTTATTTACAATGGCAGGTGAAGCTATTAAACAATCTCTTTGAGGTAGCTCATCACAATGAATTTAACCCTAGCAACCCCCCCTCCCTCCCTCCCAAAAAAACTCGTTTTTGATGACCAGATACTTGTGGACACGATAACACTTCCCGACGCGTGTCCTCATCGGTCCAGCGGCTGCTATATGGAGGTTAAATAAGACACTCGTAGGGAGTATTTTGGTTTGCATGCTTCGGGGAGTTTTACACACACACAAAAATTTGAGCATAATGGACATCAAGACCGTTCCCATCCGCATTCCTTCGTTATCCGCCGTCATGTTAGCAGCAATATTTGCACAAGACGGAAAATATTTAATGTGCGAGTTGCAGACATATCAACGTTCTGCACAGCGTAGACGTGACGGCATCTATCATTCATCGCTGACCAAATCTCAAATACACCTAACGTTATCGCAATGCCATTCGGACTTAATGATTAAACTCAGGGAATCGTGGTGGTTAGAGAAACAGCGTATTAATGTCTGGGAAAGGTCCACATACTATGGTATCAGATTTAGATGACTACACGCCTAACCTAATCCTGTGGAAAACCCAAAAGGACGAACATGGCACGAAATCGCGACGAAAACACGTCAGGCAAAGTGTTACACTGCGATTTTCGGGTTCCGAGAGAAATGCTTAATATGTCAACGAATGAAAACCACCGGGAATGTGAAACGAAGACTCTGGGTTGCAGGAATACTGCTCGTCGACATGCGATTCAGCGAATGCTTTTCGTTAAACCGTGAGATAGCAAATATAACGGTATGCAGTCTTTCTCATGTGAAACAGGGGTTTGGAGCTCGGACACCTGCTGTGGTTCGCAAACACCGGCACATCTGCTGCCACTGGTTCGGCTGCTTGTGACTCCTCCATAAGCCTCACTGCGTCTACCCACCCCCACTCCCCCGGATCACCAGCATGCCGTCATCTCGCAATATTACTCCATCAATGCATTAAAGTCCAGCGTCAACTTACTTTCTGATCTGCTCCCTCATTGTGGTATCCGTGCAAGAATCCAAGCGTGCTGTATTTGGTTTTTCCCCGCAAACGATACGGATCCGGGAGTGCGAACAGCGCCGTCGCTAACCGCGTACTAAGGAGGAAAAGTACGGAGCGAGCGAGCCGTGTCCTAACAAGCAGGACGCGGCGTCTTGCCAGACGAGGCGGGGCTAGAGAGCGGCTCCCTTCCCCCAGCCTATTCAACTAAAGGGCTTCAGTTTTGCAGGAAAAAAGAGAATATTCAGGGGGTTCTATTCGGAGGAAGAGGGCTGCACCGGGAGTTAAGGTGGATCGCCCAAGACTCGACAGTTTTTTTAAACGATTTTCAGATATTAACTCTTTTATTTCCCCAGCCCTTGTGATGCATTTCGTTCTTTGACACTATCTGAATACTGTGGTTCAAAATCTACACAATCTACGGTGTGTGAATATCAGGCCCCTCTGCATTTGGCCGTATTATGCCTCCGTGCCTGTCGGGCAAATGATATATAAAATAAAAGTAGGAAATAATGCAGATTTTAAATGTATCTCGCAGCAAATACTAACGTTTAGCTATTAATTTTCATGTTGTTACTGCTATATTTAAAACGTCTTTCATTATTCATTTTCTTATTCGTAGTTATTCAAATTATTATACATGCATGTATATCAACATTTCCCTTGGGCCCAATTGTAACCAAGAGTGGTTTGTGGGAATACTTTTTTTAGGCACCCGATGCTAAATGATACAAGTAATAATGGGCTATAGCATGCCGGCGGTTTGCTGGTTAACGATGTGGTTGAGTAACAGACTAACTCCGTGCAATACATCTCGACGCCACTAGTCCTTCGATCACGCGCGGTCGGCTGCTGCAGTTTGCGGGTAAAACAGCTTAACTCGTTTAGCGGGTGCTGTACGCTCTGTGGTTTTAAATGATCCTCACACGGTATCCATTAATCGTTACCCAAAATACCAATGATAAAGAATGCATCCGACAATATTCAAGGCCCGTTTAAGAAGGGAAAATGCAGTGTGTTATAAAAAGACTGTTAGGTCTCAACTAAAGTAGCTGTGTGAAGCTATATCTCACCCGAAGTAACATATCTGCACTTGTGCGGTGTTTTTTTTTTTTAGTTCGAGAAGTGTTAAAGGAACTACAGGTTAGATGGTGGCGTTGTCAGTGGCTGTAAGGGTCGGTCAGTCGTCAGTTCACAGACTAAGTCAGTGTTTGTCAGTGACTTTCCATCCTGTTCTCTATCACTCACTCAGGGAGGGTCTGCGTTGTCGTCTCCGGTCCTGTTTTCACCTTCTCCTTTCTGCACATAAAAAGGGAGATCTGTCACTCAACACATGCTCCAAACTTCCCTTCTGCATGCTGAGAAGGATATATACCTCAACACACACATGCATACACACACACAAATGCCTCCTTGCTGTACACAGTAAGGTCTCGCACCTTCAATCACTCACTCACTCACTGTTCCCCCTAAACAAGAGTGCAAAGCACACACATATTCTAATGATCTCAGAGCATTTTAAAGGTAATCACCTCTGCCGGCCGCACTCTCTGGTCAAACATGCATTGGAAATCACCAAGACAAAGCCACGTTTAAAAGTCAATGAAAAAACAGCCAGTTCGACAACACAGCAGACTTTTAAGGAGTACTTCAGGACAGCACTTAGACATGAGAATCCTCAGAAGTGTTAAAGAGCTTCCCCCAGGACTATTAAACAGCCAGCAGGAGAGCTCCTTATAAGACAAGCAAAATCCCAAAAGGTTTCCCACAAGGCTACAGCATTTTGAGTAGAACCTAACAGTGCTAACAGGAAAATATACAGAAATACTACATAAATCCAGGGGAGGATGCATAATCTCCAGGAAGAGTACAGAACACCCGAGTTAACCATGAAATAACTGGTAGGACTAGTAAAATCCCAAGAGGACTATATAAGAATTTCTAGTAGAGCTCGTTCCTTGAATGTCCCATAAAAAAATTACAGTAGATTTATTGCCATCATTAGTGCTCACCAAAACATCCTTTATGTCCTATTTCTGCATTTAATTACATGGACACTGTAAATTCCATACATAAGCTAGAATTCAACAACTAAGAATGAATCATGTTTCATTCTTCAATAGGTGGTAAACGCTGGTAATGTCACTATTTGAATACATAATAATAACATACTGGACTTGAGAACATAGCAAAAATCCCAGTTAATCATTTCCACAGAAAAAGTGTAACAGGAATGAAAATACAATAGGAAATCAACATTTAACAGAAAGTAGTTATGCCTCTGTTTATATAGGATAGTGAAGTTCCGTTTAGTAAAGTGATGTTAATCACCACACTTGCAAGCTGCATGTCATTGTACTATAAGAGTGTATGTTAGTTTGCAGATCTTTTTAATTTGACAGTACTATGCACAGTTGTCAAAGATTCGGTCAGCTTAAGGAGGTTTTCTTATTGGTCAGTGAAAAGCAATGTTGTACTCAATGCCAGGACAGTTAGCAGTTTATATGCAGTAATTCAATAAGAATGCTTCATTTGTATACACACACATCCTTATGAATCATTGATGAAAGATTTATAAACGTATATACATGCAAAACAATCTTTCATCATGAATTGTACTCCAGGGAGAAAACGTAACAAAGTGGAACTTTTATTTTAATACTTCACAGTCAAATTTTATATTAGCTGTGATATTTGTTTGACAAATAGTATAACACTTTGTGCATGGTGCCAGTGAACCAAAATTGGCGTGTTTCTTTGTATACGATTAATTCTGTTCATCCAACAATAAACTAGAAAGATATACGTAAACATGAAAGTCTCTTTTCAGCACGATGCCACAATGTAGATGTGGGTTTTCCTTTAGATAACCTTGTTACACCACAGAAGCTGTTAGTCTGGTTTTAGCTTTAACTGGATTGAGTGTATAACAAATTACTACTCAGGAATTCATGGCAGAGTTACAGGTTCAGGATGAGGTAAAACAGTGAACAGTGAGGTATTCCATACTGGGGAACACTAACAGTTCAATGTACGTGGTGGAACAGAGCAGTCAAAGCGAGACAAAGTGTGGTAGTACAGCGACTCCTTTAGCCCAAATAATAGTTTCATTGTCATTAGCAGTGATAGCATAAATGCAGAAAATTAGTTAAAGTATTCTTCTGTTATTCATTTGCAGTATTAGTAGTAATACAGAAAGTTAAACTAGCTGTTTAATTTAGAAATAATTTTTCAATTAGATACTTCATATGGAAACAGAGTTAGCGTTAGAGACCCAGTTGAAGAGGGTGACATACTCACTTTATATAATACCAGGGTTACTTTGGGTAATGTACTCACTTTATATAGTAGGGCACGTTGTTGGGTGAGACCGAGCGTTCAAAAGGATGCTGAACAGAAGCTGTAAACAGGACAGAGGTGAGAATTTAGCAGCAACACTCAGGAAAAAAAGATACTGTTCTTTCCTTCATTTGCTGCTGCTGGCTGATATCTATGCCCCTTGCCACAGCACAAGCAGCATGTTCTCTGCGGCACCTGTGAGGGCTTCAGATCACGTACACCCTCTCCCAACACCGCAATCAAATACACCATCCTGCTCCTCTCGCCAGACATCACTTAGCTTTCCCGCAGTTTCAATGCATCATCCCGTTATCTGACAAGACATTACCAACTCAACAATTCTAATATGATGATAACAAGTTTAAAGAGGTTGAGAGCATGTAGGAGAAAGACTCACAGTGCAAGGTGTGCTGGGATTGGCCAAAGTCTCTGTGGGCTTCATTCAGTTGTCTGAGATGCTCCTCAATGGAGATCTGGCATGAGAAGGATAAACGGACATTGAGCTGGTAGGATCTGGTAGAGCCACAGAACGAAAGTTCCATCATAAGAACATAGAAACTGAATGTGGCGTCATGAAACCAAGGGGTTGATGGATATCTAGGTCCAAGACAGAGTACGCACAAGCCCCAAGTGGCCTTGTGGTACAGTAACACACCAACACAAGTCAACACATTTTGACAAAACAGGGAGAAAGACCTTCTGCAGAGAGCTGCCCCAGAGACCTATATAACATTGATGGGGATGCTAGAAGAAGATGTTTAAGTGATGAAGTGGTCACTCAAGTGTGGGTGACAGAGAGAGCTGTTGTATAAATAATAGAGTGATGATGTGTGAACGATGCAAGGGGAAGGTGTCTCTGAGGGATGACGTCTGAGGAATGAAGCGGATATTTGAGTAATGGAGGGTCTGGCAGGATGGCCCTTGAATAGAGGACTTGGTGCTACTAAATGTACACATTACCTTAGATACATCCACCTCCTTCATTTTCCCTGAGTTTCTGCAGGTTTCCATGGAAACCTGATTAGGGTTATGGAGACAAGAGAGCTCAATTGTACCTAGAGACTAGTGCAGTTTTCAGATATGTAATTACTGTTATTTACTATTCAATCAACTCACCAAAATATTGCTGTACTGGGATACCAATTTCTATAGCAAACCGCTCTCTAGACGTGGAGGGTATTCCCAGTGTCCATACAATAGGCTGATATTTAACATACGAGATTTTTGTCCTTACGACAATCTAGACTATTTTAAAATATACATTTTAAAATTGATTTAGACGGGGTTTTTACTTTTTTTTTTTTTTTTTTTTACATAATTTTGAGGTGAATATAGGGTGTGTGTCTGATGATATTTGCAAACGCCATGTACGTGTTCCCAGTGAAAGTTCTCTAAGATATGAGTCTACCGCAAACATGTGTGTTAAACTTTATTCTCTGGGTTTCCTTTTCCAGTGTCTCAGCTCAGTTCAAAGCATTGAAGTAATTTGATTTAAGGTGCAATAACGAAACACACACATGCGCGCACATACACACACACACACACACACACACACAGATTAGGTATCTATATCTTTGTGGGGACTCTCCATTCATTTCTATGGGCATAACCCTAATCCCAACTATAATATCCCCTACCCAGCCCTAACCTTAACCATAAGTAACCAAACAAAATACAAGACATTTGGCACTTTCAGTTTTTTGATTCGTTCATGGATTTTTAGAAAATTGAGTTTCTCATTGTGGCGACTAACAATCATGTCCTCACAAGGTAAAATAACAGGTTTTTATCATATTGGCACAATGTAATACATACATGCCCATACACACACACATACACACACACATACGTATTACCTGTCGTAGAGACCTCGCATGTACCTTTATTACAAATTTCCTAACTACCGCAATAAATCTTAAAAACATATGCAAGATAATTACAAATTGATTTGCCACTTATGCTGACACATTCTTATGAAAAGATTTTTTCCTCAAGGTTATATCGTCACAAGGTCTCCTTCCCCAGAAAGTTAGGAGAACTCAACAAAATGCATACGCATACACGTTTGAGGTCCACATACACACTTTTCCAAACTGTTGTCTCAATTTTTACATCCTTGCAGAAATTAACAGAAATGCTAAATGATTGCACAATAAGTATCTTTTACTATACAGGAAAGCAGATGCAGATGGCAGACATCACGGAAATCACACCTTGGGGATTTAGGGGAGTACTGCGAGGGAAAGGATTCATCTAAATGCAAGAAAATACGAATGAATAAAACCCCTGTGATTCAAGAGCCTTTGTAGATTACATGTTACCCTAGGCTATAAGAAACAAACTTGATCATGTGTGTCCTTCAGTTTCCCCTTCGATAAAACACCTACACAATCACTATATTCTGCAGCACCATTACAGCTCTGGCTCTGTCAATCCTAAACTATTTACCTGCAATATAAATGCATCAAATTTTTTTACCATTTTGAAGGGCAGATCTGTTTAGAACAAAGCCTGAAAATATTATGTTCAAACGTGCTGGCATATTAGGCCAAAAATATCCCAGCACCTCTCGCATGGCATTCTCGTTATCACATGGTATGACTACGGTTTGCGTTTTCGCAGCTCTTATAATTGTTTTCTTGTTTGTAAGCCTCATTTTTCCCCTTTAAGGGTGATATTTGTTTCTGACTGCATTAATTATTATTCACTACTTTACATGTTTGATTAATTTCTCACTTTTGCTTTGATTAATTAATGCAATATAGATCTGATCTGTTTTTATGTTTACAATCACATAAACTTGTAATGGCCCGCCTCCTCAGCGGAAGCTGGTCTATTTATGTAGCTTTAAAGGAAACAACGCACCAAAACAGTCCTTATGCTGCGTCCCTGAGGGTCTCTTAGTACACACATCCATCTTCTAAGCGCTTATCCCAGTCAGGGTCGAAGGGCCTAGTATTCCCAGTGCGGTTCAACCAACAACTGCTACCTTTAACCATGGTTTACATCAGTGGAGGAAAGTCCCTTTCAAATGACATTTCCTTTTTAATGAAGTCACCCGTCCTCCCGCTGTAATGGCCACATGGTCTAGTGAAACGACACTACAAGCTTGAGCGTAATGCAGCCTTCCAAACTCCCTTCTCAATGGGCCGTTTGCTTAGAGCGATTTACAGTTCACGTCTACACTGGCTATTCTCAGGGCGTGTTACCAGCCCGTGGGATAGCAGAAGCATTCAAGTAATATGTATAACAGACTCCAACATACATTTTTACTGTACGTGTAATGTCACTGTCTTTCATTAAAAACAAAACAAAAAAACATGCATTCATCACAATTGTAAAATGTTAGCATAGTTAGCATCTGGAAGTAATATAGCTATTGTGTTTATTTATAATGATTGGGTTAATTTAATAATAATTATAATAAGCGCTGTCCCAATATTAGTCTTGTTATATTATATAGTGCAGTTGATTTAAATGTTGCTTTTCCCATAAATCATATAGTGTTACACGCATATGTTCCCTCAATATGTTGCTGTCAGTGTTTTCCCGTCGATGCTGCCTTAATAATTCATGCTAGTTTGCATGTACAGGTCAATAGTACAGGTCAATTCTGGCGAATGCCCCACGGTCACAGTGAGGATGTCGTGGCTTCAGCATCAAATGTGCAGTCAGTCTGCATCCGGCAGCCGTGTCTGTTGTGTACCTGCAGTAGCCTCCATCGCGTGTTAAGGTCCTCCAGCCTGTTGATGTTGTACTCCGAAAGCTGGATGTTCATTGGGCAAAAGGTGGATGCAAAGCAGTTCACCTGAGTCAGGTCATCCTTTATGGGGGCGACCTCGGCTTGGAAAGCCTGCGGATAGACGGAGAGGTGAGATTTGATCCCTTTTCATTCTAAGCCTGTAGTAACTGCTGCCGCCATCATGGACAAAAAGCGGTGCTTAGGAGAGGCCATTTGCTGGAGGGCGACCGGTCATGGCTTTCATAAGCTTAACACTGAGCAACACGTGGACTATAAATAGCAAGCAGGAGAGTGACCACTTCCCATTTTTATGAGATACTGGAGAGCAGCTGCTACCCCGACCTATTTCATGAGTGTCCAATCATAAAGAAGGAAATATCCATTTAGAAAAGCAGTCAGGGTGACAGTTATGCATCTAAGCCCTGGGACTGCTCCTTTTCAGGGAGAGGCTGCCCGGGCTGCGGTCCATCATGTGACCCACATGCGCGTGAATGGGACGGGGCCCCTTCTAACCGTCACTCGGTCGATGTGCTCCTGCAGGGAGTCGATGAGCAGGTCTCCCACTGGTTCCCACGACTGCTTCACCATCTCTGCCTGCCTCAGCTTGAGGTCCAGCTTGTCCTCGGCCTCCTGCAGCTCCTGCAGGTGCTCCAGGGCCTGATCCAGTCGCCGCTGCCAGCTCACGCTGCGGCTGCGCAGACGCTCCCAGCCCGAACGCACGTCCTCCGCTTCTTTGCGCAGGACGCGGCTCATGTTCTGGGCCCGCTCCTCTGGGCTGACCTCTGCAGAAGCCACACGGCCCAACAGACTGGCTCAAAAACAGCATCACAAGTACCTGCCCACGTTTTAATAGCCTAACAATAAACACCCAGCAGGGTCTCAAACACCCAACACCTTAAACACTTATGAACACATCTAAAACAGAAAACAGTTAAACAGAATCTCAATTAGCATTTTGCTATTTACTTTGGCATTAAAGTGGGATCAATATCTCAATTAGGTGAACATTAGGCATCCAATAACTACTGCACACCTCAGGGAGAGCAACACGGATATTAAACACCACATGCATACGATTGCTGGGAGGTTAAAATACACCTCTGGGGGCGGTAAACACACAAACTTAAAGCGCAGCAGATCTTCAATCAGCCATAACTGTAAGACACTGAGTCTCTGAGACAAAATGTACCCGCATAGTGTGACAGTGACAGTGGTTTCTGGTACAGTACATATCCCCAAAGCAGCTCAGGAATAGGCCTCTCTGCAAATAGCCTTAGCCACACAGGCAAGTGCACAGTCCACCCATTTCACTCTCCTCCTCCAGACTACAAACCCGTCACCGCTGACTAATCCTGTGGCTCACTCCCCTCATCCAGCCTCCAAACTGGCAAACGGTCCGTTTGGGTTCTCTAATTCTGCCCAATCACCCTCTCTCCAAATCAGATCTCGCTTTTGTGTGTTATGCCTGATGTCCCTGGATTAAAATCCACAGGGTTTCTTCTTTAATTTCTGGTGAAAGGAGTCCTGCCTCTGTCAGACGTCGGCGGGAGGACTGTTCGGCCATTGATTGAAAGGCTTTATTGTTTGATAGTACTCATCAAAAAAAAATTAATTTAATCAGCTCTTCACTGGAAGTCTCTTGTTTCTTGATTGAACCGAATCAGAGGACATGAATTTTGCCTCACAAACTGTAGTTCTGGAAGTTGTGTGTGTCTGTATGTGTACAGAATGTGTGTTTTGGTTGTGCTCAGTTTATACTGTGTGTGTGTGTTTCAGTGGTTATGGTACCTCTGGACTCTGGTGGGGTCTTTCCCATGCTCTCAGTGTGCTGATCCGCCAGAAAGGCCCCAACTGCATTCAGCGCACCACTCACTGCTGGCTCCTTGGCTTTTACCTCAATCCTGAAGGCCTGTAGCATAAGTACAAGGCAGTGGGACATGTGACTTGAGGGTTTCGGAAAGGTTAAACATTCCAGGCACTATCCATGCTAGTGTGTGGCTCTGCAGCTTAAGAGCCAAATCAGAAGGTTTCCGGTTCAGATCCCTTGGATGACAAGGTGATTTCACCTTTGGGCCCTTCAGCAAAGGCCCTTAACCCAAGCTGCTCCAGGCACTGGTTAATCATACTTTCGTGATTGTACATTGCTTTGGTTAAAAGCGTTTGCTAAAAGAATAAATGTAAATGTAGAAGAGGTATTCTGGCTGATGAAACACCAGCAAAGGATCTCACTTCTCATTGTAATGTCAGTCCTGTGGAATCTCAAAGCACTCTTGTCTGACATAAAACTTTCAACTGACGTCCCATTTTCTGGTTAGCAGTAAGTGCAAACATCACATTCCATTTATTTATCTCGTGGAAGAGATACTAAAAGAATTACAGGTCTGTTCCCGGCCCCCCAAAATTACACCTAAATATGTTTTTTTTTTTTAAACACAAAATGAACAGGATAAAACAAGAGCATTTTTTTCTTAATGGCTTCCAAAACGATAAAGATCTTATCCCAACATTACCCCAGTCCTGCCCCGATCCACCGCTCCTTCAGTGTGCCACGCCCCCTCGTTAACCTCATCTGGGATCCCCATATGATCAGCTGTTTCTGGTTGTTGTCATTAGTCCTTTGTATTAAGTCTGTTTTTCAGTTTGTTTCCCCAGTCCGGTCATTGGGTGCGTTCGACTTGCTTACAGCGCTGGCTTAGAGCAACGCATCCTGATCCTGACGCAATGCATTACGGTTAGATGGATTGCGACCTCTCACCCGGCTGCATATACTGGAACCCCCTCCGTGATGACACACCTTTGCCCTTATTGGCTGAAGAGTTTAGTTACACGCATGACGTTTGTATCCCAGGCAGTTCCGATGCGTAATCTACTATTTCTCCCGAATATCACGTAAAGCACTGAACTGGTTTTCAGTTAATTTACCTGGTAAAATAAAGTTTAAATAAATGACATAAATGCTCTAATAGTACATGTAAGTTAGTGGTTTATTTATT